ATAGCGAGGCACCTGATAGATATTGGGAATGCCATGGATACAATGAATTTATTCGAAGTCGCCAGTAGACAGTTTAACGAAAATTTACTAAGATTCTTAGAGGATATAACGATTAGAAAGTTTAAATCTGATCTCTATATTCAAAAAGAATTAGCAGTTAACCTTCGATCGATCCAGTAAAATAAGTGAATTAAACATTTGGCCTGTTTTTCTTTTTTGGAAATTATAATCATAATGAAGTCAGTTGAAATCATATGTCTCTTTTCTTGCAATAATTTTTATCATCGTCATTATATTATTTGACAAAATGATCTTAAATATTTTAGAATAGCCAGCCTAAGCAACAATAAAAATCTTGTAGAAGCCTAAATCCTTAACTCCTTTCACATTCAAAACTACTTGTTCGTTATTAATTGATAATTCATTATTCGACATTACGCTAATAGTGTAAAGTTGTCGACTGCTATTTAATCTGAATGAAGGAAACGAACCATAGCGAAATTCAATGTTAATTTCATAAATATTGTCCGTTTGAATTCATTATGTGCTTCAATTTCACGAAATAATTTAAACTACTTTACCATTTGTGAGTAACACATTTCTTGGAATAACAATCTTCATAAACATGAGAAATTATTTGTGGTCGATGGATTAATATGTTATCATGATAATCATTCACAAGTATTTGAATGAAAGGTAGAATAAAGCATGATCAGAATGTTAGTGATGAAATCCTAATGTGAAATCTTTCATCACCACTTTAACCTGGTCTGGCGCAATTAGATTATACGAATCTTAGTATCGTTTATTTCTGCTCTATGATCACATTGCTTTGAGACATGAATTAAATGACTAGTACGTTACTAAATAGTCATTTGAGAGCTTAATTAAATTATCTAGGTTTATTCATCGTTATCATTATTGAATGATCTAGGTAACATCGTTGTGACCCTCTGGTCGTTGTTAAAAAGATTGTTTTACTTTGCTTATCAGTTAGACATCAGTATACGAGCCAAATGATTCTCTCGTAACGCCTTTAGTCTGTTAGTCAACTAAGTTCTACTCTGAATTCAGTTCTGGATCCAAATGTGTTTTTAAAACTCAACTTCCAAAAGAATGCAATATAGAATTTCTAACCAATTTGCCCTAAAGAGTAACAAATTAGATTAGTCGAATTATTATTTAAACTTCGTTACAGTGACTAATGTATTTAGTTTATAAGAATTCTGATAATATGGCTAGAAACTACTTACTAAATCCGAAACATTTCTACTCAGTCAAGAATGTCATGTAGTTACTGTGTGATTTACAAATGTATAATAGTAGTAATGGTTGAAGTATTTTGATGCTTCTACGAAATTTTATTAGAACTTATTTAATTAACGGATTTTGGATGAGCACATTATCGGTGAAGACAATTTCAACAAATCGGTTAATCGTTAGAAAGTTTTTGTCACTAAGATCTAGTAAAATAATGATACAATTCAAATGGAAAGAAATTACTCTTAAAATTACTCGGACTGACTAGCCTCAATATTTTGGGGGAAGAAAAGCACTCAACATAAAGGCATATGATAAATGAAGCGAATTATTGTATATTAACCAGTTTGTAGAACAGTTAGACACTTGTCAATGCGACACCAAAATCTGTTTATTTAAAATTGTTTGTTAAAACGTCTACTAAGCAAACAGTTTCTTTTCTGAATGTCTGGAAATCTCAATTGCTAACTGTTGGTTTTTATTCATTGTTACGATATTGAATATAAGTTGAAAAATTATTTATCTTTTAAGCAAAAATGAATAGTAGCTAGCAGTGAAAACCAGGATCAAGTGAATTCATTTAGCTTTTTTCGTAGAGCGAAACGATCAAAAAGGTTTTATATTTAAACTAAATAACTACCTAAAAACGTTATCCGGTTTTTATTTAAACCAACTGAAGAATTGAAGATATTGTCAGATTGACTAAATTAAAACAGGGTTCTAATTTAGTCGGATTAAAAATTATTAATACAAGTTATTTTTGGATTTTTGGATTTGTTAAGTATGGCCCACGGTAACTATTAACTATGGACGGTCGAGATTATTCTAATATGAACTCGATAAGTCGGCAAATGACCCTCCCAACTCTCTCAAAATAACGCCGGAAGATGGAACTAAACAAGAACATTGCAGAAAAAGAATCAATATCTAACAAATAAAAATAGAAATCAAACAACTCTATTTATATAGTATGTGACCTTGGGATGCATAGAAAAATTAACGAAACTAAAAGTGGTAACAGCCAGTCAGAAAATAGCAGAGGTTGTGTGGAAATAGGAAACAAAAAATTGTCCTCGGAGTTATTATTACAAGAAAGAGCTAACATGTACAGAATTCGAGGTAACCTGGGATCTTCTCAGTAATCATAACAGGGGAATTTCGTCTCTAGTAATAAATTACTCGTTGGCTGAAAGATACTCGATCCAATAAGTTTTGGAAACCCAATCGCAATAATATGGATATATTAGCATTCTATTTTGATACATACACTTATTATTCAATCATTATGAGTGGGTTTCTCTCAAAATATTTTTTTCATCGATATGAGGGGCAAGAATTAAATCTGATAATCAGGTCTTAAGCTCATAGGCTGGTGAACGTCGTATAATATTCATATCTTATGACAATGTATGTTTTATGCATTATATATCGTGAATGCTACTTAAAAGTTAAATCAAACTCTACAAATCCCTGCTCATCAATACGATATCTATTCATGTTTAAATTTGTATGAAATATTTCGTACATGTGTCTTATTTTACTCTCTTCGGCGATCGCTTACTCCATCTTTTTATATTCGTTCATTGAGGGGAGGGTGCATCAACAATGCAGCTATCATGTACTTGGCCACACTATTCACATCGTCATATGATATATCGCATATGCGAAACCAGACGTATAATTTACCTTCACCACAGTACCGATTATTCAGTCATTTTCCTATCGTATTTTTCTAAAAAGCCAAACACTGTGATACTAGGTTTAGTTTTTCTAATCTTCAGCTTATACAGTTTATTCAATCCGTATGAGTTCGAAGTCGAAGAAAGTAAAATAGTTCAGAATCTAATACAGAATGGTCTTTATTCGACACACCTGCCACCAATTGACCTACATATGAAGAAAACTAAAGCATTACTAATTACAGAATAACAGTAATGGGAAATTTATCGAGGTGTGATAATGTGGCCGCTTAACAAGTAGAAGGAAGTCAATATGTCATATTAGTTCTTTTATGACCAAGGCCAGTAGGGTATAGAAAATCCTATTCTTTGAATACATCTCAACAAAAGAACGATAAGATTTTCAGAATGTTAACAACCAGCTTGGAAAATATGCTGTCTCAGTTAAGATTACTAAGTCGTTGATTTCATCGTAATTTTAATCTAATTCAAACATCTCGTGAATGACATAAACTGTCATGTTTCTTAACTATTCATTAGGATCTAGGTCATAAACTAGGAGTGATTTTTAAGCCAGAATATGAGGTTAATGAGTTTTGCTTTTTTCTAAATTAAGAATTATCGTTCTATCTCCTATAGCAATTTGAGTGAACAATTCGGGATTAAATATGCTTGTTAATAAAACTTTGACTTATCTGGAGTGAATTTTAATCAGTCTTTGTTGTCATATGTGTATCAGAGATGGACGCCTGAATATGCCCATTTTACCAGGTGTGGCTAGCAGTGCAAACCAGAACGCAGGTATATCCAAATGATGAGTCCAGGACAGAACAAAACGCCAGCCCTGTATTTAACTGACAGTTACAATCCATTTATTCTAAGAAATTATGGATTCAGTTGAAAAACGTTTGCAACTAATAAGAAGCCCTACGAAATCAATAGATCCATTTTGTTTTGTAGACAGTTTTATGTTCACAATTAGTTCAAAAACGATTGTTTGACCTTAAAATAAATCCCTTTGAAAATTGATCGGGAATGGTCACTCGTTATTCATTTACACGCTCCCAAAAGATAAATTGATAAGGATTGTAAATATCCTTATATATTAACAAAGTGAATAAATTATACGTAACATCACACTACTATGTACTCTGGCATTTTTGAAATACTTCGTTTTTCTGCTGGTAGACACTGAGAACAGACTAAGTTCAGGAAAGTCTGTCCGATTATATGCTAATATCCGAGTGATTTACAATATAACACAAGAATACACCACCTTTATGTGGTGGAAGTCATCTAGATAGCCTAAGAGAAGGTGGAGTTGTGTTCAGAAGAAATACATTCAGCTTTATTGTTTACCCTGGGTAGCTTCAGAACCATCTCATTTCTGGTTTAATTGTTAGTCATACATAAAATTTTACTTCCAACTTCTGAATGCAAACATTTATTCTGACCTATTCTGCTAAATTTTCCTAATAAAGCAACCATCTTTCTTAATCTACAGTTATTATTACTTATATTATCACAACTATTATCACGTAAAATTTATGCTTTATAAATCGCACTAACATGGCTTTTCACTTTTGGTGATAATTCACAATTTTACCCATTCTTATAAGACATTTTAAAGTTGCCAATGATGCATTTTCTAGGCATTTGATCAACGTGAAGTTCATCATTCTTAGTGTACATAACTATTTAAATTGTCCTTTATATTTATGCCCAGACATTACAAGACCTTATTTATGGATTTCACTTAGCGACAGCTTTAAAGGACATCGAAGGACAGAGTAGGTTGAAGAATCCTGGTCGGCGGTCTATGCTTCAGGAAGTGTAACAGGCATAAATAAATAAATAGGTAACACTTATTTATTTATAATACTACAACCTGAAGACGAAGTTAATAATTTAGAATGAAACTTAGCAGTTACAATACCATTACAGGTATGAACTACAGAATACCTTTTAAATAAGAACAATTTAAGCAGTCCTAAAGATAACTGAATGTTCATGAAAACCCCCCACTTCCATATTTTATTTAAAAACAAACAAACAAACAAGTGCAACCAATTTTTTCATTGTATTTTATGATAAATTGTACACAAGATTACACTGTTAGAATTAATTGTCATGCAAACTGTATAGCATCATTGATTATAATAAACAACAGAACAAAAAGGATAATAAGCCTTACAAAGCAGTAAATTACAAAGCTGTAATATTCCAATGATTATTATTTAGCGTTTCTTTTCAATTTAACAAAATATATTAGAAAATGAACAAGATAATGATAATGATAGTGTATCTATCATCAATAATAATAGTAATAATACTAGTGATTATTAAGTAAAAGAAGATTCAAAAGGTAAGAAGATTGCATAAGAAAATATTTACCAAAAGTTTCTATCAAAATGCAACCAATAAAACATCAGGAGCATATTATGAGAATACAGACTTAATGAAATCATATCCATGAAAGTATTTAATTGTGAATACTACTAATTTTTATTCATACTGGAAATTGATCATGATTTTCTGAACTTGACGAAAGAATGGAAGCACTGATTTCTTGCCCTCTAGTACAAAGATCGTCAGTTTAAGTTGGATCGTAATTGTATTGTTGCTTCAATCCAAATATTTGGTCTTTCGCACATAGCCAACCAAGCTGACTTTTCAGCATCCATTGCATCCAACCATGGTTGATTACCTAAATATGACGAACAACGAATTAAAGTTCTATTATGAGTGGCAAAATTACGAATGGTATATCATAGTTATTTATACAAAAATACTTAAGATTTTAAATTCTGAGATCCACGTAATGACTCGGTAGTTAAAGTCAGCCGGTGACGAGGAACATATTGCAAAATTGTACTTATCTTCTTAGTCAACCAATGAAAAAACTAATCAGTTGGTCAGTATTTTGACTGATGACACTTTGACTTCTCATATCACTCATAATATTTATGATAGTAGTATCATTTTAATTGTCAATCTATGAATTCATTCATTATTTAGTTTACCATCAAAACATTGTGTTGACTAGTCTTTAACTCAAGAGCAAGTTGTGTTCACTGAGTCTCTGAATAATTTCGACTAACTAAATTCTTGTCGTTATGTGACTGAATAATTATCACTCTTCACAAACGAACACTTGAAATTATTTTATCTTGTGATGTCCATACACACACTACTTACAAGTAGTTGAATGATGAACTCCTAATGTTTTAAGCTCTTTTATGAAGACGATTGTGAAAGGACTGGGTGAAATCGTTCATGGACTTCTAATAAGGCTAGTAAATATACGATAGTCAAAAAACGTACGTGATCCACAGTTGATTCTGCATCCTCCAAGGAAATCATTCGATGAGAACCGATCGTAATCCCAAACAGAAATTTCTATTCCAATTTCATTTAAAGAATTAAGGATAATATCTCTGTATATAATAGCTTGGTTCCATTCGGGATTGTTGTTCTTTCTGACAACTTTTGTCTTCTGTTTCGAATACTTTTCTTTGCCGGGTAACATATATCTGGAAATCCGATATGACACGGTTGTGTGTTAGAAGCAAAATTTCATAAGGAGTGTATTGACCATTGAGCAGGTAAAACCAAAATTTTTTTATTATGTATGAACTGATCGAACCAACATGAAATACAGAGTTTAGTCAATTATTCAATCATAATAAATTAAGAGGTCGTAAGTTATGGTCACTGGAATTTCAATAGTTTGGATTTTTTCGACTGTTACGTAAGGTTCTTCAAAACGATAACAAAATACTTTTCAATGTTGTAAACTAATTACCTGAACTATTGTACGTGTTTCGCTTAACTTGCATCCAGAATTCTTATGAAAGTATGAACTACTGACTAAACTAAGATTTTGAATATGTATATAATTCTATTTATTTTGAAATCCAGGACTTTCAAATGATAAAGCTAATTAGTTAAATATACAGAGGCTGGAACTTAAAAAGAGAGTGTATTACTAACAAGAACCAAATTGATTGAATGTCAGCATTTTAAACTGATGGTTCACGGGGTTGACTTTTCTGTAATTCAGATTTCGATTTATCCTGTTACAAAGTCTGAATAATTCCTTTGAATAACTGATTTTTTGTTGAGCCAGTCAGTTTGAACCACTAAGTAATTTTCCCATTACAATTAAAGACGCCGTTAAGTAATATACTCGTTTGTAGATAATATTAGAGTACTAGAGGGAGGCAAGTTTGTTGTAAATTCCTGGATTTCGGTTAAGTACTGTTGCTGTCATCATAGCACTCTATTCAACCATATTATATGCGCAAATAGAAAATCCTAATAAACACAGATTTATCGATCGTTGAACAGATAAAGCTTATCTCCACAAGTTAAATTCATATTCTGTCACTACTAAATATTAACCGAAAATGTAAATAAAATTATTTTCTGTTTATTTTAAGTAACTTTCAGTAGCCCCTGAGGTGGGGCTTGATAAATGAAGTTCCATTCTCTCTAAGGATCTGGCGAAAATGGTATTGGTTACTCTTCAGTGACGAATCACCTCACGATTACTGGGTAAAAGTTAAAGCCTGAAAAACATAGTAGCAGCAGCTTTGATATTAATACTGAGTGAGATAGGTTCGAATCCCACAAGCTACTTCGATAATCGAGACAGATCTTATTTGCTAATGCCAAATAGCACAAATCTTAGAATCAAGGCTTCCTGGTGATTTAAAACAACCAGTAACCATACCTTTACAATATATAATACAGGATTAAAGTGTAACCTGGAACCACCACTAACAGGCTCTATGATGTGCACACAGAATCCAGAAGTCACAAGCAGTAGATAGAATGGATTAGAGTAGCTAAAATTAACTTTAATGTAATCAGTAGTGATATCAATAAAAAGTGTATACATAATAATTTTGTAATGTTTATTTGTCATCGTTCTTAGTTATAATAATGTTACTCCATTTCCTTTGTTTTCTCTATCACCATGTCGTTTGAGAGTATACCAATGTGTTCAGGTGTACTATGCAATCCCGAACATTGATCTTTTCCATGTGTATATCGTTATATTTATTTGTACATTAGAAATAAGTTAGCTTTAGAAAAAAGAACATCAATAGATCAGTAAATAGCACTATTCTTGTTAGTTTTCAGAATGGGAAAATACTATATATAAGAAAACCACTCCAGAAAATTTCTTACGTGAACATACATTTTTACATAGGGATCAACGTTATCCTTTTGTGGAGCCATCCCGTCAGTAGACGCATTGAGACCTTTAGCAGATTTGATCCACACGTGAATTTCACCCCGATTACTACCTGTCTCACCTGGTACGAGTTTTATGGCCAAAACTATTTCACCTCGACTGATTTGTAAGTGTGATATCGTTGGAAGGAAACGCTGCAAAGTTACATTTTTAGAAGTAGTAGAGTATTAAACTGTCTGTGGGCAAAAGTCTAAAAATATTAGGTTGAAATCAAATTGCAATGGGAAAATGCTCCCAACATAAAATTTTTAAGTTTTTACTTTCACAACGACTTTTACAAAAAAAACAGTTTATAACAGGGCCGAATATAGCATTTTAATAAACCATTTCTCCATATTTTCACTCTTTTCGCAGTCGTTTTATGTTCTGTAAGTGCCGAAGGCCAAATAGAGACTAATTAGACTATTGTTGAAGGAAACTAGAACGACACGTAAAGTTTCAGGCTTTAAACATTTTTATTATTATTAATAATAATAGCCGTAATTAAATTTCAATTATATTTGCTTAAGTCTATATGATCTAATTTCGTCTGTTAATAAATATTGCTAACAATTCAAAGTCTTGCCATAAAATTTTCTTCATCACTTAAAAGATAATCTGTGTGTTGTTTGCGTTAACTATGGTAGAATAATTAGTGGTACCGTATAAAGATTATCGATTAGGACATTTTGTTGGTCGGTTATCGAATGGGGAATCAATATCTGCTATTTGTTTAATAAACATATTCAATGCTATTAGTTAGAGAGTATTTCAAATGCTAATTTGAACGATGTTCGTTATAAAGTAAATATACCCGGAATAATGATAGTTATTGGATTTTACAGAGACTAGCTATTTTCATGATATATTTATTTTTAAATAGATTTTCCGTAGAGTATCATTGCTTTATTCTACTCCACTTACATGACAGTTGTGACGAATTTAAATCATTTACGAAATTTAGAAGTCCTAGTTAAATGATCTTTATGATAACAATCTGTGATCACTACATGGTTTCAAGGCATCATCAATATTATTTCAGTAACAGGAATAAATTTGGTGGTGGTGTAGTTATCTTAAATAAAATGAGCTGGTGTCAATCTAATCGTTTATATTTTAGGTTTCTAAATAAATTTATCGGCCAACATCAGAATATCGTCCAAAATACTTGAAAAACTATAATTATGTTTATGCTACAAATATTTATATGATCCCGGATTATACTTTATCTTTCCCATCACTTTGCACTGATTCACAAGAAAACATCTCCGAACTGAAAAAGACATTTTGAACAGGCCTGGATTTGTGAATCGACAGACATAGTTTATATTATCACTCTACCTTACTTCGGTTTTGAGGTTTATTGTCCCAGCGAAATAATTTTTCTAAGATTCATTCAACATACTAACAATTGAAGAGATAGAAGACTATGTAAGAAAAAGGGTCATATTAGTATTCAAAGACTTGATAGTCTAATAAGTCCGGAAATCAAACTCTTAAATATATTGTACTCTTAAAAACTCCTATCTTTTAAAAAAATCTTCAAATACGTGAGGACTATTTAACGTTCTTACGGTTAGGAAATGGACTAATTACGATACCCACCTCAATGTTTTTAGTCTTTTAGTCTTCCATAAGTTAAGAATCTGATGTTATATTTCTCATTTCTTCAAGTTCGACGGGGAGCTATGCCTCAAGATGTAATGATACTGACGTTTAAACATGTCTGAATTCGCTTGACTCATTAAAATGTTTACAGATTGACAATATTCTGAACCTATTTTTTAAGAAATACTCTGATCTTTTGTGTCATCCATTAATGAGTAATTTTACCAAATAGTGATCAATAAATTTTATATTGAAGATTTGGAATAAAACGAAGGTAGTTTCAATACGGATGAACGTGTCTGGTGATAATGATGTCAAGTTTTGGACTATTGCAATGACTTTTTTCTCTCAAAACGATGAAGAAAAGTTAAGACTTGCACTGCAGCTTATATTAAAGGAGCATATTGATTCATACAAGGCATTTTACAAATCTGAAAGAAGCACCTGTAGTTACCCAGCATCATAATATAATTTTCAGTTTGGAAAAGAGTTATAAGCGCATCCGGTGAACGTTTCTAGGCTGTAGTTCTTCCCTCGTTCTTTTCCAAAAGTACTACCACTAATTTCAATTGCATAAGTAATAAATAGACATATTCAGTGAAAAGATTTCGTTATCGATCGTCTTAGGAGTAATGTGAAGTTTTTAGTCCTTTTGAAGTACATTACAAGATAGATTATTTTAAAGGCTATCGGAAAAGGATTTAAAGCTGGGGAATTTCTTATAGTAATTAATATGTCTATGGCCTAGACAATTATCATAATTAATCAATATCTTGTTGATGAATCGATCACTGAAACCTAAAATAAAATGAACTAAATAACTTACGTGTTCACCAAGTGTATACCAATGAGAGGCTTGATCAAACTGATGGAATGTCAGCGGTAGAAAAATTTCACCCAGAAATAAATTCAAACCCAATGCATTATGATGCCAAACAGATACTTGAAGTGTACGCAATGTTAGATCCTGTTTTAGTATATGATATTTAAATTCTTCATCATAAACTGGATTACATGTTGCCTTTTTGTATGATGTTTTTCGCTTGCTACCCTTAGTTCGATCTGGTAGTAAATAGCATTTCACATAGCTAGTGTTTTGCATAATAACAAGGAAGGAAGAGAGCAAATACGCAAAAACGAAATTGAGTGGATATACTCCAGAAGATGATTCAGAAATTATTAAAAGAACTTTCTCGGTTTCCACGACATGATATAATAAAGGAAATTATATTAACCATTCGAAAAGAATAATTTCATCAACTTCATACTATTCGAACCAATTGTGCAATTTATAATTCCATGGATCTTGGGATAGATGACTATAAAGAGATCTCAGAGGTTGATTTATTTTTATTTTTCTAAAGGTGAAGGACACAGTGACGCATTAGGCGAATTCTCTGCCACAGTGAAATTCACAGTTACGGTGCTACAATTTCACTGTCAGATTTAAGATTTTAGCCTATGTAAATTAGTGGTCTTATGAGATTACAAATCTTTGTTGAAGTAAACAATTACAATAGACGTTACATGTCCTCAATCATAGTGGAAATTTATCTATCATGCATTTTTCTGAACAGACAAGAACGAAAGATGCTCGGTAATGATATTATTCTCACATCTGTGAATTTTGTGGTGTGAGAACATTTTATATAAACGCGTATGAAAATGGTAGAGAATATTTGTAAAGACTGAAAATGAGATAATTACAATATAAAAGATTGAAATCCAATCGAAAAGGTTTTCAGATCCTAAAAACAAGATGCTTTAGATACTACGTTTGAAATTCATGAGTTCAGTTATAGAAGCCTTGAAGTGCCAAGAACTTGTTCTTTGTGTACGAGTAATGATATAAATTTTAAAATCGAAAAAACTATTCATCGATCTGCCTGCTGAATATTGTTAAATAAAATAAGTAAATTCTGATCACTCAGGTCATTCACTAATATGTAACACAGTTCTGAAACATAAAAATTCCTGTCTTTTATGTTTAATCGTAGAAAGTACGTATACTCCCACTTCATCTTAAAGCATCTCTAAAAGAAATAAACTATTGTTCAAAAACTGTTTTTGAAGTCCGACTACAGTAAGTAAAACTCTGTTCCCCAACAAGAATTAACCTTTTCGGCAGATTTAAAAAATTGTAGCTGAAAATAGATTTGCCAACTTTAGGTAAACAAAATTAACCACTAATAGTCACTGATTATGTGTCTCGTGACTATCGGGGCTCATTTATCTAGTATTTAATCATGATTTATATTATCCAACTGCAAGATAATTCTGATTCCAAATCGTTGGGGGCAGTGTACATGCAGTTCTAGATCCAGGTCTCATACTGTTCAGCACCTGTTACCAAGGCTAATCTACGATCTTGACAAAAATCAAGATCCAAGCGGGATTTCTATTCGCGTCAGCTAGAGTCAGGTATTGACTTTACTGCTGAGCTGTTACAGTCCTCAACACACAGTGCATGAGATATCAATTCATGTAGACTAGTGACCCAATTGTGACTTGGTTAATAGCATTCAACTTGTACTACAAATTTGACAAACAGGACAAAAGTCTCTACTTAGCGGTCAATCGGTTTCAAATTAATATGCCTAATAAACACAAATATTAGGGAAAATATAGCATGAAAAATTCCCGGTCATCAATTAATGGGAGAAAATTTAAACTTACGGATTGGTTATGTTGCGTTTTCTGTCTGCTATCGCTAGGTTACGTGCTTGTTTGATACTGATTCTCAGTGTATTATACGCATCATCGTATATCACAGCCATAAGCATCTCTCCAGATATTTGAATGCCATGCGCGTAACATGATTCGCGTTCACTGTATACACTTAGGGAGGATGCATGACTGGCCTTATTTTGAGAAACAACATATGAAAAAGTTTTAGCAACACAGAAAGTAAATATTATGAAATTTTTGAATAATAGTTTATCCACTTGCTCATTATTGGTATGAATGAGAATTAAGTGGTTAAAGCCTAGAATAAAAAATATCACCAAATAGTACCATGCAAAAACGTAAACCAACTCCAGAGGTCTTAGAAGCGTAGTTTTTACGCTGAATTTCAAAGGAATTTCAAAATTTCTCTTCACAGTAACCAATAACTTGAAGGATCACATCACGTGCTCGAATCGAACATGAAATATCATTAGGTGGTTTTTAATGATAAAGTTTAAAGATAGAGTAATTTAGACTTTTCAGGCAATTAAATGAAATCATGCTGTAGATTTGTTTACCCACTTTTAAACGTGTAGTTAAATGAATTAAGTTGTCATACCGGTTGGATTAGAGTTAACATTATATCTACTTACTGGTTAGTAATAAAATCCAAACCATAAAATTCTTATCATTCCATTAACAATAAGAAATTCACTTTACTAAAAAGTGTACTTGCTAATCACTTAACAATTTGAATGGAGTATGTGAGAACTATATACTTATTTATACACAGAGAATGAAGGCTATCTACTGATTTTCGTACAAATAGACAAATCTATTTTATTCATGCTTAATTCAAAATACTTATTTTCCTTTCTATTGTTTTCTAACAGTTGATTTATATTGTTTCTTTCATAATAAGACATTATAGAAACATGAAATATATTTCAGGGTTAACAACTAGGTTAAAAGATTTTGATCTGTTCTTGTTTGCAGTCGCATTATTACGACTTTTCATGAGAAAAATTTTGTTTATACTTCATGGAAAGTGTTGAATATTCAATATTTTTTCTGCTTCATTTAGACATGAAAAGCAGTGATCAATTCGAGTCTTTCCAATTTAAAAGTATCCAAAGTTAAAACTTGTGATAGAATACGTGTCAGTGAATTTGTAGTGCATCAATTTTTCAATATTCGATATATGTGGGATATCAAGCATATTCAGGCTTTTTTTCCGTTCATTTAGTGAGTGCTGCATATAACACCATAAATCTCACAGAGGATTCTGTTTTAAGGTATAAATCCCACTTTATTTGCTTTTTCATCCAGAAAGTTAAGATATGCTACAGTGACATATTCATAGAAGATAAACAGATAACTTTAGATAATTGAAATGAAATCCTTAGTGAATATCAAGCTCTTATATGATTCACTCAACCACTAAATGAACGGAAAAATGCTTGAAAACGGTAGATATTTCAATTTTATTGAATGTTGAAAACAGTATGAATAATCACACACTCAAAACTTTAGCGCAACAACAGAGAACACTCAACCGATTTCAGCTGTAATCAGTCAACATGTACTGGTCCCTTCGAAATACACACTTAAAAATATCATTTTATTCAAATGAATAATCATATTTCTTCAGAATTCAAGAAATAATTTAATTATAATAAAAAATAGATTATACAAATGAAGTACCATCATAAGGGTAAAGTAAAACTCTTGGAAACTTTTTTAAACAGTACAACATATAACAGATATAGACTATCTACTAATGTTTTCTTGTAATCACACGACAATGATGCATATTACAGTTACACACACGCGCACACACCAGAACCAGTAGTTCATTATCATTAAAGCTGAATTTCACCACACGATACTTATGGTTCAAGAGGCTTATTTTCATTAAATTTTAAAAGTAATTCGATTTGTAAAACTGAAATACATTTTATTTTCACCTCTATAAAACAGAGTAAACTGTTCATAACAAAGAAAAAAAAATTAACATATAGTCTTATAAACAAATTAACGTTGGGCACAGAAACATTTCAGACATATTGCGAAATAACTAATACAAACTACTGGCTAATATATCTACCGAAAAATCAGAACGAATAAAACTCTAGCAGTTTGGTTAGTTTATCATGAACTCTTATAAAATTATAATTAATAATGTACAGTAATTTTCCTCAATCATCAAATCACGAAGGATGGCAATTAAAAATAAATTCTCCATGGAAGCATGAATAATCAATTTGTACTGATGTCTTACTAGCATTAAATTCATGAAAAAATATATATATGAGCGCTTTCTACATGCTTAATGAATGAGTATGATTAGCCATGAACCTTGGTTAAGTCGAACATTATAATAGTTTATCCAGTCTATACACAGAAATAACAAGGTCTATTTTTGAAATTTTCATAAAATTTAATAATGAGATCAATAAATATGATTGGTCAGTTTTGATTTTTTTGAGTGTTCTCAATACAGTTCAGTCAGAAAAAGAAAACTATCGGTAAAAGAAAGTCCAGAGATGAATTATCAAGACAACCTATACATCAAATCTCGTTCTATTAAAGAAAAGCTTTGACTCTTCAACAAACAACAGTAATGTTTCAAGCATAAACAATCGTACAGCAAACAACAGGCAAGAATAAAACAAAAATAAAAATAAAACAAAAATTCAAAGATAAAATGTTCAAAAATCCACCAAATTTAAAAATCGTACCGAAAAAAGCACACATGAATACTGCAAGCTACAAACGAAAACGTACTACATCTTTAAACGACACACGGTATACAGTACAGGCGTATATATATATTCCAATTTAGAATAGTTTACACAACCCACTCGTGTGATATGGCAGACATGAAAATGGGTCATAAAATACTATTATTGTTTACATGATTTTTATTTAGCCCGACGTGAAACAGCGACCTAAAACTCTGTGCTGGACTAAGACCCTTTGCACAAGCCTTATTGGCATCGATTTCATTTACCCTTGATAGAGATGTAGCTTCATAATTATGCACACGAATAAAGTCGGATTCATTCAGAGAACTGCTTTTTCTTCGGTCTTGAACATTTAAAACTTTAACTGAGTTAAGTTTTGTGGGATTTTGTGTGTTATCAGGATATACCTAAAACATACAGATTAAAGAAAGTCATAAAATAAAGATTAAAATATGATCGTAACACATTGAAAATGAAAACAGATTAAAAGGCAGAAGGTTCAAATGCATTATTTTGTGAAAAGATGGATCTTATGTCTTTGTAAACTTAGGTTGAAGGATAACTTCAGTTTAATGGCCTGAATCAGTTGAAATAAATCCATTAATTAGATAGAATTTTTAAGCATAGAAGGAGCTCATGACATAATGAGTTAAACACAAAAAACGTTGATAAAATGCTCAAGATGATAAATCAAAGGTCATATCAACGAAATTCAAACAATCCTTGCACTTTACTGATACAATGGAAAATGAAAGCCTTTTTTAGATGAATTATAGTATCCTTTGAGAGAGTTTGGAAGCAGTATAACTTATATCAGATCCAGGCGGTGAAATCTATCTGAACTTTAAAAAAAAAATGAATATGCTTTATTTGTTCATTTAATTTAAACTAAAGACCAACCAAGAAAATTATGGAACGTATATGATAAGATATCAAAATCACCTGTTTAGGAAAATTACTGAGTACTGACAATTACACTAAAATTCGCATTTATATTAATCACTTTCTACGTCATTTATTGCTTTGAAAACTCCTAAGACTCATGGTATAAGTATAAATAATTCATCATAAAACTTAAAGATTTCACCGAGAATACAGCTGGTAAACATCTGTTCAGCTAGATGAGTTTAAATGAAAAATAATTGTACTTTGTATAATTTTATTTCCAAGTTATTTCAAAAACCCATTTCTCAGCCATTTGATAACCAAATGAAACAGTAAAACAGCCTACCGATCAGCTCAGTAATTCTGAAATTTCGTGTTTTAAATTTTAACACTTAGTTTAAATTCTTATAGCCTTAGCCTATACATGATATATTTACAGAGACGTTTAATGGCCTGAATCCTCCTCTCTGGACCACAAATTGCTAAGGTTTTTGAGCTTTCTAACTTTTGAGAAGAACTCTTCATACCATTAAATCTTCCTAGGTCATTGTGATATTTTGTTTTGGAGAGAACTTTTATTGGGGTCAAAATACAAAGGCTACAAATAATGAATAAAAACAGTTGATACTATTGTAAATCAAAGAACTCAGTAAGGATTTAACGGATTACTCGAACGATAAAATCTAGTATTCTAAAAGGTCAGCTACACTCTGAATATATCTGGTTCACTTCTTCAGATATGATGTTGAATAAACTAAATCTGAATTCCTAGTCGACATTGAGTACTAAAAGAAATGAAATATAAATTAATCAGCATACTGAAACCACCTAAATAGCATTATGTTGTACAAAAAATTTGACGTCGATGTCCAATCTGTTCTCAAGTATAAATAAATCAGTCATTCATACCCTATTGTGGGATCTCACACATAAGTACATCAACTCAGGTTACCACACCGTTCCTGCACAACAAGACGAAATTATAAAAACAAATATCAGAGTAGAAGAAGTATTAACGGTATCATTAATGGTTATTGTTGTGATAGAAAGGATTAGGGATAGAAGAAAGATGAAAGGTTAGATGGCTTAGCTCCGTACTTTTAAGGCCTTGACAATGGAGATGGAAATTTTTTAGCAAGGAGAAGTGTGACACATTTAGATTCAACCTTTCCTTATCTCCTCACTCAGTTGTTGGAGTACAGTATCCCTGCCACCACATAAAGGTGGCAGCTACAGCTTGTGGAAGCCTTTTAAAACATGTCGAAAATCCAAGATAGGGGGACATTTTGAGTTCTTCTAATGTAACTGCCTTAGGAGATACTTGATTTGCTATTTGTTTAATTTTTAAGTCTAGGAAAGTACTCAGGTAGATTGACTGATTGGTCATAGGAGGCTAAAGAGGACTCCCGTTGGTAATATTTCTAGATAGACGAACATTTCAGTTCACATCCAAATGGGGTTTCGAATGGAAAGGAGTGAAATTTCCGAAAGATTAACATGGTTAGTAATTTATTGATATTATCATTATTAAAAGGACTTTATTCATGTAGCTCATTTATTTTAAAAAACGAACATCGTATCGAAACAACTACTGTTTTATACTTGGTAAACATGTAAAACCAATAATTTTTTAAGCAAAGCTATATATATATATATATATATATATGTAGGCGGGATTTCAACGTGGGTATAGTTCAATTGTTGATTGGTCCTTACCCTTCGCCTGTATATATTGGTATCAAGTCCACAAATTTAAGGGCCCCGGTTTTAGATGGCGCTCCTTAGCTGTATGAGTAGTAATTCTGGAATGGTTGGAGGAATTCGAAAAATTCCACCTGTCAGATATACGTATTTGGGTTTCCTGATTCCGGGGAATTCCTGGCGTAAGCTACCTGGCTGGGATAGGTGTGATTATAGTAACAAATGGTTAGAGATTCTGAATGACAAGGAGTAAGTGCTTCCACTCTTTGCATTCTAAGTCCTTATATTCTTCTTAGTTCCTCGATTTATATCTTCTTTTCATCATATCTTCAGTGCTTGGTCTTTTTTATTACCCTTAATGCTGTTACTATCTTTACCGCTCTGGGATTTAGCTTAACAAATTCACCTCTATGTGTTAATAAAGTGTAGCAACTTGAACTCAGGTACCAGATTCTATGTTGATTTCGACTGACTGACTGATGATTCCTCAAAAATATTCTCGATTTTAAAGAAATCACAGGGTTATTCGGTCAAATTTCCAAGTCTCTCTTGACATAAACAAGAGGATAGATTCATTTTTGGGAGCATTGGAAAACATTTTGGAAAAAGTGAATTCGTTCTTCGAAGGTAGCGGAATAGAAACGAGATAACTATAATTAGGCAAACATTTTTTAGAAACAACTTGAATCGAGTTTTTATCGAAGAGCCTAAATGAAATCAACATTTTTGTGGGATTAAACTACATATGAAAGATAGAGTTAATGTATTTGCTATCATGGTAAGAAAAATAACATGGGATTACAATGATTCGTTTGTCCGTTATATATATACGGATACATGGATTTTCCATTTAACTATATTTTTCTATGCCCTTCTCTTTATTTATTACTCGTTAAATTAGATTCTTAGCCTATAAAATTGTCACAAAAAAACTCAAAAGTTTTTTTCAAAACGTTTCTAGATCACTGAGTTGAATAGACAAATAGATTTACCAAGTTACAAAAATAAAAAATAAACCTACTGGATGAGAAAAAAAACAAATATTAAGAGATCCTGTCAAAAAGAAACATGTTCAGTCATGGTATCAAGTAAAAACAAGTTTTAAGAATAAAGAAGTATTTATTTTTACTATCACATTGTATTCAGATGAAAATACAAGTTCAATAGACGAATATATATATTCATGTTAGTATAACGGTTTACATTTACACAAAGTTTATATGAAATTATGAGAAAAATTCTAATACAAGACTCAAATTTATTCAATATTTCATATTTCTCTGGGGCTTTGGATGCTTCGACTTCAACGATCAAACAGATACTCTGCATAATGAAGTGTTTTGCAGTGAAATTATCGAATCGAATTTCATAAAGTAGAGAGTTAGGAGAGTACACTAGATTTTTTGTGATACGTTAAATATTTTCAGTTCAAAATATGAATAGTCTTGTAGTTATATTGCTCTTTGGTATTAGGCTTTTTAAGAGGAGAGATTTAGATAGATTTTCTTATTGATCAAAAACATAATATGTGATGGATGAGATAGATATGTTTCAGCATTGATATTTAAGTTAAAATAGGTAGATTAATCTAAAAGCGAAGATGACTAACTACCTAGATGAATGAATCACTTAAAAAGTGACAATGTGCATAATACAGTGCAGTCTACATGTTATAACTTTAAGGTTTAAAAAGAGACATCTAACTAAAAATGTTTCTAAATTAAGTAATGAAAAACTTTAGAAAACCATAACTTTATTTATTGTTAGCAATAATAACCGTAGTAATGTCACATTATCCTAGAATAGATAAATACATAAAACACAAACACAAATGATTGTAATCCAAACAAACTGTTTAGGCCGTTTTTAAATTAGGTTCAAATAATTTAAAGTTTATGAGCTTGAAAAAGATCATAATTAAAAGAGGGAAATATTTTATGCACATCAGTATTTTGCATGAGATGAAATAAACTGATAAATGTCAAGTGGAAAAGGACTGCCTTCAGTCCTTGATGAGAATTAGTTTTGATATTTAATAAAATCTTTATAAACTGTCCAAAGAAATATGTACGTTTATTCTGATTGTATTTTATTATATAAACATTCTTTATTGTTTTGTGTTATGATTGTAAAAAATAAACTCAAAGTACTAAACTGTCACATATAAAGTGTGTTTATTTTTACCCTATGAGTAATACCTCCTTTATTGAGTTAGGATACAACTGGTTGAAAATTGGTGAAATGAAATAATTTTACTTTATTCCACAGACGCTGTTCTACTTGGGCTGTTTAAGTTGATTAATGAAACCAAGCGTATCCTATATAACTATTGGAGTTAAACTAAACTTATCGAACGTTCAACTTTGTATATATCAAGATACTAATATTATTATTTATAAGCGTGTATTTTGTAACGATAGTAAAAAAATTCATTTTCTGAAGTCCAAGCTACTTTCTCCCTTGATTTCGGTGTTTTACAATCAGGCGTTTCTTACAACAATTATCTGTCTTTAAACGTCCTACAAGTATAACAAGGTTAAATCTAAAGCCTATGTAGTACATTTTTTTAACGGTATCCGTTCAAAGAAAAATCTAATTACCACAACAAAATATGTGTATCTATCAATAAAATATTCCAATTATCAAGTTATTTGACTGAAATGGAGATAAACGATAATAAATTACCCATTTCCAGACTATACATTCGTAAAATACGTTTAAATCAAATATCCATATCACCGGTACAGTTCCTGAATGAAATAAAATATCTATTAATAACTGTAAATAGTGTATTTGGTATTTCCAATTGAAGCTCAGTCTAACTTGCAGAGAATTTAACTTCTCTTCCTTTTGACATATCATCAAATACAAACAGTTTGGTATTGCCGATCTCTTCAAATATAAGATGAATCTATCAGATGAAACCTCCAATGTCAGAATAGTCCTGAGAAAACTTGTCACGGTTGAACACGAATTTTACAGTAATTTCATCCATCCAAAGGACCCGGGAGATTGACAACCTGTCGCAAATCATTACTAAAAAGTCATCTTTGTTTAATATCTGTTATCTGTGTCTCAAGATAACAATAGTCGATGATGATGACTGGGTAAAACATGAAGGTTTATATAATTGCGAATGCGGGCAGTCTACACTATCAGCAATGACGAAAGATTAGTTTAAATATCCAGTGTTTGTATGAAGTCTCCAATCTCTTGAAGACACATATATTATGACCAGGATTTTGAGTGAAATTGAATAATCCCCGAACATAGCACCACAAGAAGCAACCATGGAATGCCGGGGATTGGTAAATTTGAAACGCAATACATCCATGACTAAAAACAATGGCCGGCCATTATACGTTCATGCTGTAGGCATGGAGTTATCTTTTGACTAAATCTCCGAACCATCGCTTTGAAGAAGAATTTTTTAATACTTTCGTAGACGTGACTCATTGATGATTGTCAACTAACGCGTTGTATTGGGTGATCGAATTGGTATTCCAAAATTACTGGGCAACAAGATTCTCAAGCAATTACACAGTGGTCACCCTGGGATCCATAAGATGAAATCATTGGCTCGAAATTACGCCTATTGGCTCTCAATAGACAGAGATATCGAAAACAAGTGCCGTAACCGTTTATCTTGCCTGCAAGTTGCTAAAAACCCTTCGAAATAAGAAACACAGTAGCGACCTCAGCCTGATAGTCCCTGAGAGAGCTCATGCAGATTTTCACTGGTCTAGTACAAGGAAAAATGCTTCTAACAAAGTTTTGTTATGAACAGTAATAACTATGGTTCTCTCCACAGCTACAAATGGGGAATACGCATTAAACGTCTTTTTCTTTATAATAAATCGTTAGGTAAGAAAGAATCAATGTAGATTTCAAAATTAAGCAAGACATAGTTTCGATGGTTGGATAAAAATTTGTGTCATACAAAACTGCTAACGGAAAAATAAGAATTAACTATTAGCTTGGAGTGCTATAGGGGGATAATGTAATAAACAAAATGGTACAAGAATATAAATGACAACCACTAAACAAGAGTTAAAAATTTATTTGTAAAGTCAGTTTCAACAGACGTTATAGGTCCATAGCTTCAATTATTTTCTACAGAAGACAAATAGCTGACTCAACATGAAGCTTGACCTAATAACCTTCACTACTGAGTAAAAACGGTGCATAAAAACGTGTGAGAGAGGTTGATCAAAGTCTGTAACTAGTTTTTTAATTCAGTTTTATTGTTCTTTGTACCAAAAGTTTTGCCACAACTGGTTGAGTTAAGGCAGTATCACATTCAATTTTCCAAAGATCATACGTATCGTAAATCAACAGATATCAATGAAATTCACTGCATATAAGATTAAAAGTTCAACTATCAAATAAACATCACCTTTCTTCAAATAGCGTGATTACTGATGGTAATTCATAATTTCTTTTCGGTCAAAAAACTAACCAAAATTTTTAATGCTTCTAATAGATGTGGACTGTTTACTTACCCCACTAGCTACACTTAAATTTGAGCGGCTTCCAGTTTCAGAATCCAAATGTTTTTGGTGTGTTATAGGTATTTTACTAGGAGTCAAATCTGTATAAGAGGAGTTGAATTTCTTCTCTGTTAATGATGGTAGAGATGGACTGTAACATTCTGATGAACTGAACCCAGGATTCTGCTTATGAAGATTACTGTCTTTGGACATACTTATTTGATGCAACTGTGGAGTGGATGACTGTAAAAAGAATACGGTTCTTAATTATTGTTAATATTCTCATGTTCATTATATCACATACATATAATCATGAAACGCAGAAAATATAAAAATTGCTACTGTCTGTCAGGAAATAATATTTTTATCTTTGCTTCCAAGCTGAAACACCTTTATATTCTATTGTTAGGGAATTACTTATCTCTGGGAAAATAGAAGCTAGTAGATTGATGCATTTTAAAAGACGCTTATTTGCTCTGTGACTATAAAATCAGTTCAATCAGCAATCGATTTTTGTCACAATTTATGTATGTCTTGATCATCAATTTAGTTGACTTTTCATACTAACATAATGGGCTAAAATGAGTGAATAAACTAATTGTAGATTATGTTGTAACACAGTCTGGAGACTTCTGAAGTAACTGTTGGTCTCAAACTTATGTAAAGGAGGAGGGTTGAGCGTTCAGTTAACAACTTTACCTCTTAAAAAATAACTAAAATACGCCAAAGAAAATGAACAAATGAATTCATTTGAACACCGCTCTGAGAGTTGAAGGGTTTTTATATAGAAGAGCTATGACACCTCATAGTGAAATCCGAAAGTCTTCAGAATCCATGAGGTCGATGTTACATCTGACACCCAGAGCTAAAAATTTATATATGAATTTAGTAATGATGTAGGTGAATATTAAAAAGACCAGTTTTATAAGAGGTTTTGGTATATCCTAGAGAAGTGCCTAGGAAAATATTTAACCATCCTTATGTGAGATCTGAACATCAAGGTCGGGATGACCAACACTGGGTACGAAGACATCATGTACCAAAATGGACTGGGAGAAAAGAATAGGAACAATGAGAAACTGGTAAGCGCAATCACTTTACACAACATGGTTATATGTGGTATCATTCTCCTCTACAAACACATACATGAAGCTATATGGGTATAACCGGACCGAACTATATGGAACCAGATTTATCACATCTGTTTCAGCAGAACTTCAGGAGGTTCATGAAAAGCCTAATAACAAGGAAAGATGATATAATTTTAGACAGTCAACCACCTGGACGTTAAAAAGGTAACTAATGAAGCTTTGAACAATTTGATAACCAGTGATATAAAAGTTTGAAACAGCCTCCCTTCGAAACGCTAACGAAATCAGCAGATGCAACATAGCTCGCATCAACAAATTCCGAACCTTATAATGTCTAATAGAAGAAGATGAAACCACTATGGGAAGCAACAAGAAAGGAATTACAGAAATAAAAACTTCAAAATCCCAGGAGGCACCCTGACAAGTACTAGCATAAAGAACATATCTCTGTCGACAGCGAGGATAGGGTTCAAGGAAGAAAAAAAGAGATAATGACAGTTATTAATAACTGAGCATGAGTAGAGAAAACCATGGCACGGGCCTAATTTACAGAAGCAAACAAAGGGATAAAAAGCATTAGATCTGATAAGTGCAAATCTGTAGAAGATCTGACAATTACTGAACAAAAAGCTATAAGAAAAGGAAATAGCAATTACCAAGAAGCTTTCAGGAAAATAAAGTAGACAATAACAACCAGTCAGGAACGAACAATGTTAACTAATCACTGAGGTTCAAGAGCAACGGAGCAAGTGGGTGGGACACTTTGAAGAGCTTTAGAATAGGTCCACCCGACTGAAACTAACGGATATGATAGCAGTAAATACAGATCTATCTATTAATCGTACCTCACCAACAATAAAGAAAATCAGCATAGCCATCAGGTAAATTAAGAGTGATAAATCAGATGGCATACCGACTGAAGTGTCGAATCCAGATACAAAGGCAGTTGTCAAGATGTTACACGTTCTCTTCAGGAAGATTAAGGAGAAAGAATGAGTACTAAAGAACTGAAAAGAAGAATAAATGATCGACGTACCAATGAAAGGAGACTTCAGTAATTACGGCAAATACAGAGGGATCATACTATCAGGCAGTTTTTAACAGAGTATTAAAAAACCGAATGAAAGATTCTGTAGATGTCCAACATTGATATCAACGAACTGTAGTTCGTAAAAACAAATCATGTACCAACCAAATCGCTACACCGCTGATCTTTTCTGAACAGTCAATTGAATTGAACTCGCCACTATAAGTAAGCATTCGGCAGCGCTCACTAGAAAACCCTGTGGAACCTTCGTCGGTATCATTTAATACTTAGGAATATCGTCGCGTTCATGCGGAACTTTAATAATGGTCTGTACTGCAAGGTCGTGGTGGTTGAAGTATAACTCACGAAAGCATTCAGAGTGAAGACTGGTGTCGGACATGGCTGCTTACACACGTCTTTTTTTTCTTCCTGCTAACTGTTGACTGGGTTATGAGGACCCTATCTCAGGAAAACACGGAATTCAGTCGATAATTTGAAGGCAACTGGATGTTCGGATTTTATAAATGACTTGATCATTTTATTACATACACATTGACAAATGCAGACGAAGCAGATCTCAACGTACACAGGTGAAAGAGCAGTTTCATGACGAACAATACTGAGCACCAAACAAATCGCTGTCGATAAAAAAATTTCGGAAATGATCGAAGCACTTACTTATCTGGGTAACATCATTGATTACCAAGGAAGACATGGTGCAAAAGTCATGGTACTAATTAGCAAAGCAAGGGAAGAATTCATACAATTAAAAAATATCCGGAACTCAAAATAACTGTAACAGAAGACCATAGTCAGGATGTTCAAAACTAATGTTAAACCGTTCTATAATATGAAGCTGGAATCCGGAGAACTACTACAACAATTGACAAAAAGCACAGGTACTTATGAACAGTTCTCTACACAAGATACTCTAGATCCACTGATCAGACAACATCAATAAAAATCTAGTTTGACGGAGAAAAAAAATCTATCAGGTGAGGAGGAAATTAGATGCTGGAGATGGATATGACACACTTTACGGAAACTACTAAACTTTATCACAAGCACTGGTTCAGAATTCTGAAAATCATACTAGAGGAGGTTGATCAAAGAACACATGTTGCCGGAATTGGAAGGAGACACCAACACCATGAACAGAACTTAGCAGCAAGTGGAAAGGAGAGTTCATTATAGTGTCGTTTGGCAATCCCTGTCTAGAATTCAGTATCATAAGAGGGGATACCAGGTTCGAATAAGTAAACCAGATAATCTTTGTAAAACAAACTCTGGATCATTTTGGCTATCCATGTTTGACAAAAAACTCATTAATCAATTCAATGTATTCAAATTCTACTGTTATTTTTCAGAGTTATATGCTGCTTGGGAAACTCACATAAACTTTAAGAGGAAGAACCACTATATTGTAGTTGAGATAGGGTCGTTTAGTTGATATCATTTGAAACGAAAATTGTTTTTAAGAAGTTATTACCATCAGTAGCAGTGTAGTGAACGTGAACATACAAGCGAGAACAATCAAATGTATTTGAACACAAAATTACAAAATCTCGTACTAAAATCTGAGGATCATGCAGTAAATACTTCGTTTGCAAAATGTCAATCGGTTGTCTCAGACACGATTGTCCCTTCGTCTTCACACCAATCATTATCTTTTCTCGCTCTCTTCTCTTCGGTCTTCCTAACCTTCTGCCTCCAGGCGTTTCACTCTCGGTTGATGATACATACTACCTATATTTGTCGACATCAGTAGAACACACCACAGTAAGTGTAAGAATAGTGGGGAGATGCTTAAGTTTTCTTTTGCTTGATAAAAAATGAAGCTATATACTAATGAACAGGATTTCTTGAGCATTCAGTTACTTTCGTTGCTTTTAACAACAACCGATATTTTAGTTACATACGATTCAAGAAATAAGGAACCAGGTAACAATGACTTATTACAACAAAATAACATGCAAAATCCGATCGATATATTTCAATGATTTTATACGTCTACAAAAGTATTCAACAAAAAATAACAGACATACGTGATGTTTATCAACTGTTGGACCAGTTTCATCGTCAATCCATGAATGTGTTCTTTGTGGAACATAACCACTATCAACCAATGACTGGGAATTCTTCAAGTTTTAAGGTTATAATATAAAAATACTGTATGGTTAACTAGTCAAGTTACAATAATGTAATTATATTGGGAGTAATAAAAGCAACAACTGCCAATCTAACCAGCTAAAATGAATTATCAAAGGGAGATTTTAATTTGATATCTAATTTCAGAGAAAATATTTTTATCGGAATTTCCGAATCCAACCTCCTTCTTGTTCCGTTTTTACTATATACTACTTAAATATTTCACTTCTCTCTAAACTTTCAAATAATATATTTATTTGCCTTAGATTATTTTTAGTAGTGGATTGTGTGTTATTTTGTGATGACTTTATCAAGCTTGACCTACGCAAAAGTTATGAGGACAATTAAGATCGTATAGCGAATCTATCTAAAGACACTTAAGAATCAGAAGTTGCATATGTTGACTTTAAACAAATTCAAATCCATCAACATGGTTTCTTACATAATTTGAAAAAGCGGCTTATTGTGACAGATTAATTTGAGTTCAGATGTAAAAAATGTGTTGATAGAATACCAAGTCACAGAAATTCACAAAGTATTTTCCACGATTTTATCAAGAAAAAATCCTATACGATTGTTCCATATTTTAAAGTTCAATGTTCTTTTTTTAACCCGACGAATATATTCTGTAAATTCTACTCAATATATTCCTAAATGATCCCAACAAAATATCTAATTTTATGATTGAAGCTTATGAACAGTGATTCGGAGGAACATGCTCAACAAAGACTCTTTGAATCCATTCAAAATTTAGCCCTCCTAAAGAACTACTAAACATCTATCTCTAACGTGTATCCTGGGTACAGCTTCTGGTTTTACCAAATCTTCACTGTAAATTCGTGTTGGAACCTACTTATTTTAGGGATATTTATTAAAGGAATACAAATTTCAAGGTCAACTAAAGGTCGCGTAAGTTCAACAGAAAACTTACTTACTTACGCCTATTACCACTCGTGGAGGAGCATTGGCTGCACATCAGCATTCGCCATCCAACCTTGTCCTGAGCAATATTTTTCAGTTGTTATTCATCCTTTTCATATCTGCTTCTATTTACCAGCGTAATGTGTTCTTTGACCTTCCACTTCCAACGTCTTTTCCTAATTTCATCTTCAGCTCGAAGCTGGTTTGTCCTCTCCTATAAAACGCTGTTGCTGATATTATCCGACCAGTGAATGTTGAGTATTTTGCATAAACAACTGTTTATAAATACTTGTACCTTCTGGATGATGGTTGTAATAGTTCTCCACGTTTTAGCTCCGTACAGTAGGACTGTCTTGACATTCGTATTGAAGATTCTCACTTTGAAACTAGTTGACAGTTGCTTTGAGTCCCATATGTTCTTCAATTGTAGAAATGCGGTCCTTGCTTTACCAATCCTCGCTTTCACATCTGCATCAGATCCTCCTTGTTCATCAACGATGCTTCCCAGGTACGTAAATGTTCCCACCTCTTCCAGAGTTTCTCTATCAAGTGTGATTGGGTTGGTGTTCTCCGTGTTGTATTTGAGGATTTTGCTTTTTCCTTTGTGTATGTTGAAGCCTGTTGATGCAGAGGCTGATGCTACATTTGTTGTCTTTATTTTGTATTTATTTGTGTGTATGAGATGGGAGGGCTAGGTCATCTGAGAAGTCCAAATCATCTAATTGATTCTGAGATGTCCATTGTATTCCGTGCTTCCTGTCAGATGTTGAAGTCTTCACAATCCAGTCAATCACCAGAAGAAAGAGGAAGGGAGGAGTAGACAGCCTTGTCTGACTCCGCTCCCTGCCGGAAATGCATCTGTCAACTGTCCTCCATGCACCACTTTGCACTGTAGTTCGTCGTATGAGTTCCGGATAATGTTGACAATCTTCTCAGGAACTCCATAGTGTCGAAGAAGTTTCTATAATGTTCTCCGGTTCACACTGTCAAACGCCTTCTCATAGTCAATTAAGTTGATGTGTAGTGACTAATTCCACTCAACTGATTGTTCAACGATGATCCCTAGTGTCGCAATTCGGTCTGTACACGACCGATCCTTGCGGAATCCAGCCTATTCATCTCGAAGCCGAGCGTCTTCAACAGTATAGTTTGTTCAATAAAAGGTTATTTGATGAATTCCCTAATTTATTAGCAGTAACCTTAAAAAACCGATTTCCAACACACAGAGAAGATTTGCTACCCAAGCTCTTTATATTTACTCATATTCCAATGCTATCATACACTTTTGTTTTGAAGTGTAAACTTGGTGCGAATGGGGTTTATTCACCTACAAATCCGCTCAACTCTTTCACAATCAATCCTTTGTATGATAGAGAGATCTAAAGTTTTTAAGGGAACTAACTGATAAGATAACTCGTTCTATTATTAACTTTTTACTGTGACCCTAAACACAAAAATAAGTACGATAAGTAATGGCATAAAGAATATATATATATATATATATATATATATATATATATATATATAGTCTATTAATAACCTTAAGAAAACGATGACTTATTACTGTTTTATTATTTTAATTCGCTGATATAAAATAATTATAACTATAGACCCATCTAAAACAAGTGACTACACTTACATGAAGGGATTTCGATTGTTTGTCTAATGAATGAAAATAAAACACAATAAATAAACAACGTTATCAAAATGAATACCAAAATCTTATTTATTCTAATCCCAGCATGAACGAAATAAAAAAAAGCTTAGATTCTTATCGTAAAACAATAATCCATCCGCCAAAAATATCCAAATATCTAGTATTGAATAGATTGAAAACAAAGATTTGAGCAGAATAACATGAATTCGTTTTATTTCGTTGCGTTCCCATAACTCGTTTACAACCTGTGATATTTAAACAAGGACCTTAATCATTAAATGGGTTGAAATTACTTACATAAATGGGTTTAGTTGAAAGACGTTTTGAAGAGATGGATGAAGACAAATTTAAGATACTAAATAAAACATTACTCATGTGAAAAAAACACTCTACAGTAAAAAAGACCGAAGAGTTAGAAACGAGTGATTACTTGCTGTATAGACGCTAACAATAAATGAGTATAAAATAAGTAAGGCTTACTTAGTTGAAATAAGATTACAAATTTAAAAGATGGTCGTCAACATTACGTCCTCCTTAGATTCATCGTTTCAGTGATAAATTCACCGTATCACAGATTTGCACGTTGGCTGACGGAGAAGTCAGAACCAGACTGTCAACGATTAGTAACATATACTTTAAGAGATTCCTTTCGGTTTGCGGTCAAACAAAGTTATATTCATGTTCCTGGTAAGACGATGGTTTCTTTTGATTTAACATAGTTATCTGACAAAATAACACTTCATGAAACCTTTGAGATAATTGTTCAATATTTTGAACTCTTACCTTGACCGGAGTTAGAATTCAAACGACTGGTACTTATGTGCACTAAAAACGTCTGATTACAGTTTACCAACACTGTATACCGTTGAATTGATGGTGTAGCAATGGGAAGTCTATTAGGTCAAATTATAGTAGACATTTTCTTAGTTTGCCTTAAAAATACGGAACTTAAACAAGCAGTTAATGATATGATTAACTATTCCATGTATGTTGGCGAGACGCTTATTGTTTACAATAGTAAGGAGCATGCAATCCACAGGTTTGGACTCTTTAGTAAGCCTCGTCAGAACATACGATTTACCATGGACCCCAAAAATAACTACATGATACACTTTCTTGAGACAGCAATACAACGGAAAACACTATCAATCCTAATAGTTATTTAATTGTTTATCATTTAAACAGCTCTTATTTCTCACTGACCTTTTTAAGGACTGGTAAAAAGTACTCAAATGTTAAAGGGAATACACAAGTGTATACAACACTAATCCATTAATTCTCGATCAATTTTTATAATAAATCCTGATAAGGATATTTTCAGTATACGAGGGATTATTTTTTTGAATTCAATAAAGGCAAGATCATGGATAAATAATAAATCTGAAGAAACCATTGATTCGAAAACATAATCACTAAATGTCACTCTCATTAGGAGGGAACGTATTCTAAACGTGATAAAAGAAAACTGTAGTTACTACATCCCCGTCTTTACATTGATTAATGTGTAAAAGTAAGGTGTCAGCGTGGAATAGTTGTCAAAATAACTGAATTCATCACTTATAAGCTGCAAATTAATGACAAACCTCTTAGTTTGTGCAAGATTAGTAAAAGATATTTCACGTACTATGGGCAAACTAGCTAAATCCACAAATTATTGGGTGAATTAATTTAGTCCACTAGTTCGTCTTTACATTCCAACTCAGTTATTAACATTACCATAAGCTTAGAGTATAATGATATAGTAGAGTTAACAGATCAAACCTTGAGGAAGAACAGGGAACGAATCGAACAGAAGAATTTGTGTATTCAAATGTTCTAGACAATGGTTGTAAGTATGAGAAACTTTGCTACAGAGTAATTTTTCGTATTGATCCATTATCAATTCATAACTGATTGTCTAAAAATTCACATTTGACTTTTTAATATACCAATAAACCGTCTTTTTGATAATAAACTAAATATGAATTATTTTCGAAAACATAACATTCAATTTGATTTGAGTACAATCATTAGACTTATTTTCATGACTTTTTTTTCCAAATATATACCATCTCGTTTTGCGAAGAACTATGAAAATATTTGGTGTTTCATGTACTATATAACAGATTGCTTGTTTAGTTAAGTGAATTTATAATTAGTAGTACGATGCATCGAAAAGATCAATGAAATATTTTGATCATATTAGAGCAAATATTGATTGTCAAATCATGACTGTACAAAAATGTTTCCCTAGATAAACAAGAAAAAACAGTTTATCACTAGCTGATTTTAAATAACACAACATTTTAAGTATTAAAAAAAAACATAAAGGTGTTCAAAACACAACAAGATATGTTTTACTAGTACGTATGTGTATTTCGTATTATTCACAAATACTGACCTATGACTAGATAAGTAACAGCAAAAATAACCAATCTAACTTTATTATTAATACAGAACAAAATCAAACTCAGATATGGTTGGGTAGACAAAATAACGTGTAAAGAGTATAAATTCGATGCTAACCTGGTTTCGAACAAGACTGATGTTTTTCCTCTGTTGTATTACCTAAAATTAGACAGAAAGTAGATTTCAGTAAAATCTACATATTTGAAAGATATAACACACATAGGAATGAGGATCAACATCTTAGGCAACACCCAACATCGAATAACTAACTGGATATTACTGATATACGAAAACAAAGTCAAACATGTAAAAGGCTGAAAAATTCCCATCATATGAAAACACAATTATATGAACGAAGAATATTCTTTTCAATAATTTCTCATCAGGTTTTACAATTATAAATCCAAATTATTAACCCATAAAATTGGCCATGTTTAAGGCAGTATATCCCAACATTAACGATTTGATTTGATTTTATATGACAAACTACCCTTGATTCACATATTACAATTTTTAAAGATGTACTCCACCTTAAACCTGGCCAATTTTATGGATTATTAATTTGGATTTATAATTGTAGAACCTGATGAGAAATTATTGAAAAGAATATTCTTCGTTCATATAATCATGTAAAAGGCTTTGGAGACACCAAACACCACAAACATTTAAAAGTATGTCCTACATCTAACACATTGGTCCTGATGATTGACTTCAGGCTGCCCATCCACAGCATCTTTAATAGCGTTGTTTTTCAAGAAATTCATGCTCAACGCTTTCGAACAGTTGTCAAAAAATGAAGTGTCTCTATCGTGATTGAGAAATTGTTTATCTCCAGATACTTTATTTGGCTCTTCATTAACTTCTTTAGAGTAAAACAGATTCATAGATCTCGTCTTATCATTTTTCCCAAATTTATTTATTTCGTTTGTATTCCCGAAACAAAGCGTGTCGGATAATCTACGATGCTGTTGAACTGGAGAGCAAGATAAATCATGACTGTATATTTCATTTAAATAAAAGGGGAAATATCCATTCATTTTTTACGTTTCACTCTTGATGAACTTTGAAAAAAGTTTGAATCTGTTTCAGGATTCGTAATTCCGCTATATGTCTTATCATCCTTTTTATGGTAATTTACCCTTGTATTACTGTTGTCGTTACCATTTTAACTCAAAAAATCATTATACGGAACTGATAACAAGTGTCATTTAAAAAAGATATTGTTTTTAAACAAACGACTTACACATTGCGTAATAATATATAGATGTCTAAAAATACACTTCAACAATGGACAGGAGTTTTTAGCGCTATCTATCTATATATAATTGACTGTCTAAATGTTACCCAAAGAGACCGATCAGTTACAGTTTTTAATAACAGTAACGGAGAGATTTAGACCTTAACGAATAAAAATTCTTGTTGTACAAGCCAATGGCTATCTAAACTCAGTAGTTCAGTAGATAACATGTTGTGTGTTTGAAGCCGAAAATCCTGGGTTAGAGTTTCAGTATGAATACCAACACTGAGATGCCTGTATATTCAACTAATGAATCCGAAATCGGGCGAAATGGCTTTTTAAAGTCCCACTCCTATCCACTTTTCAACTTTACTTCATTTATCACCTGTTGGATTCAAAAAGAATATAAGTGGACGGCTTATGAAACATTATTTATTTAATGAATACCTATTATTCATCTAGTTGTTAGGTTGCTCTAAGTAATCCTTAGAGCCTCATACAGATGTCTGATCACTAAGTCTAGCTGTCCGATCGTAACTTCATCAATAGAATTCATTTGTATACAAGGGCTAAACAACATGACACTGGTTAATACTCACCGACACATTAGTGGAATGGTTTTGAAATTCGGGCCTTAACTGTCCACAACAATCATTCCTTTGAAATCCAATTCCTGGGCAATATTTTTTTCAAAAACCTGGATTGCAAATGCCATTCACAGATTTCATAAAAACCACTTTTAGCAATTACAGTTATCATCAGTGATCAAATAAAAAGGCGATATTTTGATTTCAGTTTCAAGTTAACTATATGATTAGTGCCGAAATAGTCAGATAGTATTGAAAAATTGTAGTACGAATCGACCAGACACTTAAAAATTTCACAACAATAGAAAATTATTCCGGTAAGTTGCAGTATACTAGATGGCTTATAGTTACGGAATAAACAAATAGTCGATTCTAGAAAACAATAAGTAATTTGTATTATCAATGTACTTTCCCATAATATATGCAACTATTATTGATATGATTTCTGTTCGACAATATGGAGAAATGAAAAATATACTATAAAAGGGATTTACAACCCTCCAACTGACATTTTCAAATATTTAGTAAATTAAATGGAATGCTCCGTTCGGTAACCGATGAACAACATAGATTATGGGACCTGCATATCTATCTTATCTGTTTTTGTTTGTTTGAGATAATGACAAATATTTGTAGCTCATGAGGAGGATTTGAGAGATATTTCTCTGTGATCAATGGCTTAGTTTTGAAGCTTTCATTGTTTTTCTAAAACATACAATTAGTACATGTTTCAAAAAGTGACCTATCAAGACTTTTGTAGACTTCACCGACAACTTGTTCTGATGATCTGGAATGTGATCAGCTGTTGACTAGAATTGTGTTTTAGTTGCTTGTATTTAGCTGTGAGGACACAACACCTAAATCTTTTCATTCATTAGTCATTTTCTGAAATACGTGATCACACGCTATCACTTGTAAAGCTAGAGATTAGTCTCAGAGATGTTTTAAGTAAAACTTCGATGAGAGTCTTGCTTTAATAATTAAATCGAATTTTTTATTCCTTATTTGTTTTTTCATCAACTTAACTCATAATTAACGAACAAAAGTTGTCATTATATATCTAAATCCCAATGGTAGCCTCCTGTAATACTTCCATTAACCTCCATGATCAAATGAAGTATTAAGTAGATCATTTCTCTTTCGTCTATCAAACATTTAATCCAATTTAGATAAATATCATATTTACGAATCACATAGGAGTAGTTAAATGTATTCAATTCTCTTTCTAGAGGTTATTGATATGATTAATAAAAAAATGACATTCTGCAAAAGATCTCATCATTTTTGTCATTATTATTCATTATCATTCATGAATACTTACGTAAATAATAAAATTCTGTAATCAAATAACATAAATCTTAATTAGTTTTTGTTATTTGATTCCTTAACCCATTTGACAGAGAATATTGATTATGAGTGGTGTATACTTGATTAAAACTTAATTGAGCATAGCTTATTTTAATGAATAATTATAACAGTAGATGTATATTCTAAAGGAATTATTTATGCTTAAGACTGATTGTTTATTTGTGCATATACTATTAACTCGATACGTGCCAATACATGTGATAGCTTTGTAAATTATGATACACTTATTTTATGCTGTTCTGAATGAAAGAATAAAGGTATTCACAAGCTGATAAATGTAATTATCATTGTATATACTTATATCGTCTTGAAATAATAGTGAGTCGTTAACATTCTTTAGAAAGCTAAATGATCAGGCCATACAAATTCCAGGTGAAAACTCAGGTTAATAATTTATCAGGATTAATGTGAAGATATTTTTCGTTTTGAATTTTTTTAAGATGAAAAAGAATGCAAAAATGAGGTGATATAGGTCTTGTTGTGGAGTTGTACATCTTATTAGGAGGAATTCAATTTATCAATAGTAATTAGTCGTCACAATAAATCTGATTGTAAGGAATAGAAGCCGTAAACTTGAGACAAATAAGCTTCTGCTCCTTTTTAATTCATAATAATAGTGTAAGTAATGTCAGTTCTTAGTGGAATACATGCCTAAACTAACCGGATTACTGTAGTAAAAAAATACGACTACTTATCCATCTTGGGGTTTTAAAATTACAGGTTAACCTTATAAAACCATTAGAAACCAGGATGAACTGAACAACCGTTTCGTTATACAACAGGTCTGCTCGTCATTGAGTGTGAGTGAAGATTAAGTCTAATACTTCAAGCTTATCAGAGAGTGCTTAACCTTAAGACCACTGAGCTAACATTAAATGATGTGTAATTCTAACTTTAGTCAATTCTATGTTGAGGAGTTTTATACTTGAGCGAAACAACTGTTCAGTGCTTCCTGGTTTGTAGTAGGTGTCAGGAAAGGTTCAGTGCGTGATGTGGAACTACAAAGCTCGAGGTTCTCCACGATTCAATAAACTAAAAAGAATACACCTTTTAGTCCGATGGCTTTTTTCAGTCTGTAATAAGAATTCCTGGAATTTTATTTCAACCAGCTCAGAAATTAGTATTATTTATGTCTAACAGTTATGTATAACATCTACATTACCTAGAATCAGGCAACTCTATATTGTCGAGTTACTTGGAAAATTAATGAATCCCTATTCTTTTTTTAATTTTCCGTGGTTTATTAACATGAATAATTTTTACATCCTACCATTAAATGTATCTAATCTCAAAATCAATCCAAGCTTGTTTTCGCTTTGGAGAGAATTAGAATACTAAGGTTGATTTTGGTGCATGTTATTAGCAGCTCGACATTATAACACTCTGCTATGTGTGAGGATTCCTTACTCCTAATAATCAATAAAACCTAAAGAGGATCAACACTCTCGACCGTAGTTGCTACCTTGAAGTGATGGTCGGGCGATATTGGCTGGAACATATGTTCCCGTAGGTTCTAATATACCAGGCAGGTCGATTGGAGAACGGTAAGACTAAAAGCAGCAACTCAAGGTCTGAGGGCGAAGTCGTACTGCTGACTGTAGAAGGGTGTGGCAACAGTAAGATGTTTCCCTCAGTCAACCAGCATTTGCAGCGATGTTACTTTCTCAAGAGGAAGGAAGGGGTTAGAAATAGTCCGACCCAAAAATGTCACACCTCACTTTACCCCACGGATTTCCGTTTCCGGCGGGAAGGCCTTTTGAAGAATGAGTCTAACACGTCAAAAACCCCTCGTAAAATGGCCGTGTGCGAGCGGCCTCAAGCAGTTGTCGATTGGGCTCTGTGGTCACGTTCCCAGGTCGTTAAGACCAACATTAATCCAACTTCCTTTGCAGGTCTCTCAAGAAATAAACTTCCTCGGAAAGATAGGGACACTCGTCGTTGCCTCTTCGTCGTCTCTGTTTACTCTCCTACTAACTGCAACTCAGATGATGTAAAAGATGAGTTTTGCAGAAAGCTTTTCGATCTTCGCCGAGAAGCTAGGCTCTCTGATGTAGTAATAGTGGCTGGTGACTTTTATGCTCAAGAAGATAAACTAAGCGGAAGGGAAAGACGCCTGGGTGGACCTCATGGTGTCGTGGCTCAAAGAACTGATAATGGCGACAGTCTGTTGCAGCTATGCTCAGATAACCATCTGTTTCTTGCAAATACTAATTTTAAGCATAAGGAAAAACATCTTTTGACATTGCGACTCCCGAATTCGTCCTATCGTTGGATCCAACTAGATCACATCGCTATCAGCCACCGATGGAGAAGCTCGATAGAAGACTGTCGCTCATTCTGGAGCACATGTTTTGATTCAGATCATACTCTAGTGCGAGTACATATCTGTCTGCGTCTTACTGGACGCAGGAAAGGCACTGCAAGGAAACCTCTTAGGATTCTACTTAATGATTGACAAGCTAAGCATATATTTCAGGAACAACTGGAAAAACAGTTAGACAGACATGTAAGTTGTGCCCACCCCTAGGTAGCGTGTAATGACATCCAAAAAGCTGTGGAAACAGCAGTGATATCTGCTAATAAGGTAAACCATAATGTGAGTGACAAACACTGGATCTTACCACCATCTAGCGCACTAATAGATGCTCGAAAACTCATCTCATCTGGCTCTGAACATAACGAAGAGCGGAGTCAGCTTAAGCGCAGTCCAACAAGAAGCATACGCAATGATCGCGAACAGCGGTGGGTATCGAAAGCATAAGAGATTGAAAAGGCAATGACATTTGGCAACAGCAGACAACTGTTCAGACTTGTTAAAGAAACCAGTATTAGAAATCCACCCATCGGCGAAACCATCTCGAAAAAAGGACATATCATTCATTCTTAATCCAGGAGATTAGATCGATGGTCAGAACACTTTAGGGATCAGTTCACCTGGCTTTCAGACACACTTCAGTTACCCACGATCTCCAGTCTTCCTGAATGGCAAATTGACGTAAATCCCCCAACTCTCTACGAGGTTGAAAAAGCTATATGAAATCTGAAACGAGGGAGAGCAGCAGGCACTGACAGGTTAACCCCTGAGATTTTTAAGGATGGTGGTCCAGTACTAGCAGCGAGATTGACTGAGGCCTTAGGTAGAATCTGGGAACTGGACGTAATTCCATCTGACTGATCCCAATCACTGATTGTGCCAGTCTATAAGAAAGGACAAAAGTCCTCCTGTGACAATCACAGAGGGATCAGTTTGACTAATATAGTGTCTAAAATATTAGCTTCAATAATACTTGGACGCCTAACCAAAGCTCGTGAAGAGCAGACTAGAGAAAACCAGTCTGGTTTTCGACCTGGACGTGGTTGCATAGACCAGATATTCACTCTACGTCGGGTCCTAGAACATAGACATACATTCAGACGTCCCACAATAGTAGTATTTCTTGACCTTAAGGCGGCATTTGACTCCGTTGATCGTGAGGTTCTATGGCAGTGTTTGTCAGTGAAAGGAGTACCAAAGAAGTACATTAACCTCATAAAGACTCTCTACTCGAACACAACTGGTCGAGTTAGAGCTTATGGCGAACTGTTATCAGAATTGATTATCTCAAGTGGTGTTCATTAGGACTGTCCACTATCGCCATTCTTGTTTAACTTTGTCGTTGACATGCTTTTAGAGGTATCACTTTCATCATCTCAATCCCCTGGAGTTGAACTTTTACCAGGAGGCTCACTTGTTGACTTAGAATACGCCGACGACATAGTTTTATTCGGTGAAGACTGACAAAATGCAGAGTCTTCTGACTATTATAAGCATGTTCGGGATGCGATTCTCCCCCTCGAAATGCAAAATGTTACTTCAGGATTGGGTTGCATCAATACCTGAACTAATGATAGGAAGTGAAGTAGTTGGGCGATAAATAAATAAATAAATAAAATATAAAATAAACTAGGCTGTGCTAGAAATAAGCGAAACATATTGCCATGAAATTCGGCAATGCGGGACCTCATCTTAAATAAGTTTGTCGGTTAGAAAAAGTTTTTCCCTACTAATCAGTTTTACCCTGTTATTAAAGTTTTATTTAAATCTGTGGAAAAGATTGCCTTCAAATAAACCAGATTCTTCTTTTATTTTCATTTCCATACAAAAAATAAGTGGAACATTTTTTACTCGAAAATTATTCCATCCCAGCCAGAACACTTTCTCTTGGGATAACATTTTTATATTTCTATTGTTTCTTTCAGACATCTATGAAGAAATAAAAATCACGCTGATTTTTTCCATAATATCATGTGTTATTTTTACCAAATCATCAATCATTTTAAACTAAAACTGAAAATCCATTTGTTTTTATTTCGGCAAACGACAATTATTTTTCGGCTTACACAGAGAACCACAAATAGTAGTAAAATAAAAATGCAAAAAGTTTAATAGATAGTTATGGAATTCTCTCAAACATTTGGAACTTTATTACTGAAAGCTATTAGTATAAAAATTTAGGCATTCGATCAGAAAAATGAGTGATAAATTTTTATGTGGTAAGAGACAGATAGAGAGAGAGAGGGAGAGGGCGCCGTTCAGTTTTCACTTAAAAACAGTTGTCAGTCTTTAAATGTAGACTGAATATTACATACACGCGAAATGACGCGAAAAATTGTAAAAATTCAATGTGCAATCTTTGATTCTGATATATATATATTAACGAATAAAGAGTACTAAGATTTGGCATACTGACCCACATGACGAGACGGTGTAAATCCAGAATGACTCTAGAGCAAGAGGATTTTGATGTCTTTAAGAATCTGTCATTAATCAACCCCATTTTAATAACAGATGAGGTGTTCTGCTATTTTAAGAACATTACTAAATCCATTTTCTTCAGCTTTTACAAAATTAGCAATGGTTTTAGAGACTAATCTTTTTGAGTAGATAAAAAGTCCTATCTCTTAACATAGAAATAAGTAAAGTTTCGATCTCAACGATATAGCGCATATCTTAAATGATCAGTTGTTTTAACTTAGTAAAATGAATTGCAGGAAGTTAGTTTAATGCAACTGAATGAATGTCTTTTTTAATGTAGATCTTCCTCATGTCCTTAGTAATTAGTTTGTGCAAGTATTTCCTTATATCTGTCTTAGTCTAGCCTGCGTAGGTTACGAGATAATATGTCTATGAATGTTTTAAGTTGATTTTAAGATGGAACTTATACACGATAAATAAATATAGACCTATTGTGTAAAAATCTCTGATGCTTCTTGGCTGATAGATTTCAGTAGTTTATTGCAGGCTTCGGAACTACAAATGAATGGTGGCCTTAACAACGCTGAAATACAACCGCTGAAATAATCATTTCTGCTTTGTGAGTCTAGACATTCAGGCTATTTGACACTATAATACAAAACGATGCTTTCTATGCTAACTAATCACTTATTTAGTCACCTGTTCTGTTCGGAATCACCTAAACCTTACAACTTACGACACAAAAACCTTAATACTCCATCTAATACGTTCTCACGTTTTCTGGTTAATAGGTTTTTCAACTGAGGATTGCGAAGACAAACTTTTAAAAGATGTTATCATATGACGTCTTAGTTCTAAAATTACTATTTAACAACAAATAATGCCAATCGATTAGTAGTTTTTTTTATCAGATATCAACCTGATTCACATAAAACACCAAAATTATTTAAGATAGAGAACTTACTGTAAGTGCAGTCTAAATTATTTCTAAAAGTTTGAATTTCCTAGCTTATTTTTAAAGCGAGAAATACACGACCACTTATAATCCAAGCAAGAACTATAAAAATGTGATTTTCTCTAGATTCTCTGTCAACCATCATCATAGAAACAAAACATGAAATAATCCATTGGGAAACTCACTCATTTCTTGCACATTTGCTCCTCGACTACGAGGTGTGTTGGATCTCGCTTCACCTAAAAGAAGGTTGATTAGCATTTAAACACCTGATATTGTGGGGAAACAAGTACTCAAACCTTTAAAAATTACTAGGAAACAGTTTGATAAAGATAGATAAGTCGAATCTCATTAAAGTAAAGGAGCTTAACAGTGAACTCTCTTGTACAATAACTTATGACAAACATATAATGCTAGTTTACCGTGTGTACAAGCATAATAAAAGAAATAATTTGATTATCTACATAATCGTTTTTACATTTACCATTTTTTAACTTGGATATATTCTGTTACAAAATATGGGGCTTGAGACCTAGATTTTGCCAAGGTATCTATATTAGCGGTATTCGACCATATCTATTGCACCATTTTTCAAACTAGATTTCATTAGTATCAATACTGACTGTGGACGATAAAGTGGATTACCATATACTTATAGTAAACAGGCTTATCTGATTTTCGCTATATAGGTCTTAACAATCGACTCCTTTCAGTAGAAGATTTCCAAAAAATATCTTACTTTTGTAGACAGTAGAATAAATTTGTATCTCGTAGCAAAATGAATTGCTTATATGCAAAATATGAAATCCAGAAGTAAACATGACTGGAACTCATTTAAAACATAAACAATTGGAA